AGATTGTTCGTACAATCCTCTGCATTTCGTGTTCAGTCAAACAGATTCCACATGGCTGTTGCAAACAAACGTGGTCATCCTGCTTGCCCATTCCTGCTTGGATGACCTATGTAATTGTCCTTGAACCAGAGTTCAGTAAAGGTTGCAGCACTCCTGGCAAATATTCTTCTAGAGCAGCAACATATTCTTCCAAGTCCAGGACAGCACTAATGCCAAAGCTGAAACCATTTTTGCTTTCATAGCAAACTGCATCAGTGTTGAATTCATGGGCATCTCCAATTGTTACTCAATGTTTCTTTATGTTGAGTGAGGTGAAACAAACAGCCTTTAGAGCCACTTCTGGGAATCATTCCCTGATGGCATTCATGGCAGCCATTTCAAAATCACAGAGAATGGTCCACGGCTGGGTGTTAGCCACTAGGATTTTCACGAAGTTGAACAGCAATTTGTATGTAGTGCACTGTTTGGTAGAAGCGCATACAACACAGGAGGTATGCCCTCATACTACTTTGCTAGGATCACATAAACCTGAGCAAACAGTTTGGGAGCAACTGCAAAAGTGCCATCCACGTACCAGTTGTCAGCTGATTGCAGAATATACAACCAACTACTTCTGCCAAATATTATCCTGCTCAATCCCTCTCCAAAATCGCCAAGAAGAGCTCTTCTATGCCCTGAGTTGGTGAATGGATCTTATATTCCTTGGGTAATACAAGGATATCCAAACTCACTGGGTCCAAAGGTGCTGCCTGTATTTGTTTTCATGTCTGCTGGATAGTTTTTTGCAACACTGAAGTTCTAGGTACTGCAGCATAGACCGTTGGGCTCATATTAGCCAGACAGGTATGAGTAACTTGGGATATCCCTTCCACTATCTCTTCAGCTCGGCACTTCATCCTGGTCACAAATCTTACCACTTCCACATTCGTTGTTAAAGGCCAGTGGGAATGTCCGTTGATCCTCTTTTCCATTTCTGGTATGAATTCTGGCCTTGCATTTTGTACATTGCTCACAGCGCCAAAATGTAATGGAAGAATCAACTTCACTCAACTTATCAAATACGGAGAGGTACCCATCAAAAACAAACTTTTCTCTTCCTCTCTTGCTTATAACAGTATCATCCATCTCACATGTTGAAATGAGAAGAGCAGCGATGGGCAACTCACGACAGCCCTCTTGGCACAGTCAACTCGCCATGCTAAAAAAAGAGAAATAAACTTTTAATCAAACTTGTATTTAAGGATTAAAAAGGGCAAATTATGTAAAGGAGAAAACAACTCTGTAAACTTAGAAAGCAAAAATAAAGTATTATTTTGTCTCTATTTTTCCTTATTTAATTAGTCTTTTTTCTTGTTCATTTATCACCTTACTTTGTATTATTTCCTCTTCAAAATGTGTATTGTTTTTATTCTGAAAAAAATATTTAATAAAATTATAATAAAAAGAGCTGATATATCTAATTACAGAATGTCTTCCCAAATACTGACTGGGGAGTAGCAAATTCTTACACATCTTTTGTGCTTCATATTGAGACATTTAGGAATTAGACATTAAGGATGTTCCTCAATCTTGTCTTTGAGTTTGTATGTTTTTAAGTACCTGAAGTCATAGAGGAAGAAGTTCCAAAAATGGCTTCTCCCAAGAAAGAGAAATTTATATTTTGTCAGGGACCTCAGGGAGGAAAAGGAAAGAATACGGGATAGTACTGAGTGAAATGATCCTGAGTAGGAACAACATTCTTCATGGCATGAAGGTTGAGTTCACATCAAATGAAATGCCAAGGAAATGACCCTGTCTCACTTTTTGTTTTTCAGTACTTGCTTTTTGGAACCAAAGTCATACTATAACAGAAAGGCAGCTTCACACAATTTGCCCTGATGCCAAATTAGTTTAACTAACTTTACAGGAAAAGATTACATGAAACACAGGGTTGAAAGAACACATCTTTAAGATGAAGTCCTGGTTAACTGGGGAGGGTCTGACCCTAGTTTTTTGTTGTTGTATTCCAAAGGAAACGTGAAGTTATATATCAAAAGTGGAAAACCAAAGAAAGATCCAGAAAAACAGAGTGAATAATTTAAATGAGAATCCATCCTAAAAGCAAAAAAAAAAAATAACAAGACAATCTTATGAAAGCACTATGTCAGGGAAGAAAGTGGGGTATCTTATTAGGAAGGTTGACTTCTCTGCATCTGGAGGATATTCAAGAGAACCGACAATGAATTTCTATCAATGAACTTCTATTTTCTTTTATGTACACTGAGAACATTTGCACCAAGACGAATTCCTTGTGTGTCCAATCACACTTGGCCAATAAAGAATTCTATTCCATCAAGAACACAAAACAGTGGTGAAATACATTTAAAACAGGTTTTGGATTTCTATTTCCTAGTTATTTATTCTAATAATTTCTATGACCACATAGGAAATTAAGAACACTTCTTTCAATGTCTTAGGTCACAAATAGCAATCAAGATGACTCAGCCTTCCATCCTTCCAAGGTGGTAAAATGAGGACCCAAATTGTTGGGGGCAATATGCTGACTCTGTAAACAGCTTAGAGGACTGTAAAGCACTATAAAACGGTATATAAGTCTAAGTGCTATTGCTATATAAATCGATTTCATAAGGAAATATATCAACATTTGAACGAATAGTAAAACTTTAGCCAGCAGAATCCCATTCATCATCCGGCCCAAAATCCTGAGAACTGAGAAGCCTGAATGAACAAGCCACCATCCAGCACATAGAGGATTAACATTCCAATGAATAAACCACTTACAGCCTAACATTATTTTCTGATTCACGCAACTCCTACAAACACGTTTCCCACTTCTCAGCCTAATCCACACTTTTTCGAACATGGGCAAATTAAAACGTGTGGACTTCGACTCCCAGACTTTAAAGAAGTTTGAGAAACATTGGTCTAATAAGTTTGAGAAACATTGGTCTAATCGGACACACAGTGCGAATGCTGCATCTCCGTCCCTGCAAACTTTTCCTTTGTTTGCCGGCAGAGCCCCTTTGCGGTCGTGGGGAAGGGCTGGGAAGCAGCACCCCAGTTCCAGTCCTCGAACAGGGGAGCCGTCTTTGCACCCAGAGCCAGCAAAATGACTTCCGTCCAGCCTGCCCCCACGCTCAGGCTCCCCCATTTCCTCTCGCCTGGCTCCTTTCTAGGAATGGGCGGCAGGGGAACATGGGGTCCCGGACTCCGAGCCCTGAGGTTGACTTGGCCCGTCTCCACGCACCCCTCCAGCGCTGGACCCCTTTGCACGGGCAGAGCCGTCACTCACGGAACTCGGGAGTCACGTTGGGATCCACACCTCCGCAAAGGCTTCCCGGCAACTTCTGAGCTTCCAGCAAGGGCCCCGCCTCCCACTCACAGCAGAGGGAGGAAGCAGAAAGGCGGCCCCCCCCCCCCCCCCGTCTCTTCAGACCAGCGCTCCGGGAAACACGTGCTTTGCTCCCGCGGGAAGAATCCGTGCGCATGCTCAGTTCCCTCCTGCAAGGAAAGCGGAACGGATCTGGGCGGGAGTGCAGGGATGATGGATATGAGAGGAAGAGACTCCTCTCTGTCGGAGAAAGGCTTCGGGATCTCCAGAGGCGGCAGTTCCTCCATCTTCCTCTCCAACAACCGTCTGTGGTGATGGAGAAAATCTCTCTGGAGGATTTAAACTCGTTCCCCTCAAGAATAGTCTCCCTGAAGTCTTGGCAGAGATTGGTCAAATCCTCTCAGAAATGAGGACCATGAGTCTCTTGGAAACACAACTTTTGTCTTCTGGTTCTTGCAAACTCTAGCCTGAAGGGACACAAGCAGGGAAGCCACAGCCAGGAAAATTGAGATTTCTAGTGTTTTTTATTTATATATTACAATATATACACCTGTCTTTCTCAAATTATTGGTTCTGGGAGCCTAAGAATAATTGGGAACACCAAGTGGCAACTTGTGACAAAGAAATCAATCCTGAAGGGAAAAAAAACAGTTTCTAAATGAAAAAAAAAAGCTCAAACTACTGGATGTCCCAGAAATTTTGCCTCACACATTGAGACTCCTTTAAAACTGTAGAAAAAGTGGAATTGCAAAATGAAGTAAAAAATTGAAAGGGAATATAAACCTCAAATACCATGAAGTGAAAAAAATAAATCTTATTCATGTGTTGAGGAGGGAATTCACCTCAGGAAATGTGACAAGGAAGCTTATGATCTTTGGAGAATTTAAGGCAAGGGAAAATATTTAGATCAGTAAAGAGAAAAAGATTTGAAGGAAAGGAAAGGAAAAGATTTGAACTTTGATATTCAGGCATAAGACCTGAAGACACCATTGTCTTCATCTGGATCTGGAGCTAAAAGTGCGGGTGAAGGTGGGAGTGAAAATTTAAATGGAGAAGTGTTTAAAAAGCAGTTTTGAAAGAATGGAGTTAACTTTTATTTAGTTAACTTCATTATTTTCATTTCTTTGTTCTCCAGTTTGACCTGGAACCATTAAGGTGCAATATTTGAATAAACATCTTCAACCCAGGAGCCTCTGAAAGTCTGAAATATGCCCCCAATCAAAGCTTTCAAACATAATAATGTATTAATTTTTAAGACAACCAGGAGAAAGAGATTATATTTGTTAACCCACACCATCAAACGTAGACTTTTTGTAGCCCTTGTTACATCATAGAAAGGAAAAGGGCCCCAATGCTTGAGAAAAACAATCTCATCCATTTCAGGGGCTTCTCATCATTCTGCCTCCTTTTTTGTCAAAGGAAATTTCATCCTGAAACTCTTCACACTCAACATGGGCTTCTATGTGATTATTGTCTAATGTCAGTCCTTTGTCCAAAAAAAGGTCCCAGCTTCTGCATTTATACTGGTTGACTCAGATCTCAGTTCTTCACAGTAGAAGCAAGTTGTACTAGTTTTCTTGCATCTTCACATCCAGAAGGAAGTTCCCATTCTCATTTCTGTGTGTTTGGTCAGGAAGGACAGAAGTAATTTCCTGAAGTATTTTTTTTTTTCATACTGTTTTATTTTGGTCCTCACAGATTTCCAAAGATCTTCCTTCTTGCTTGATCATTTGTAATGTCAGCACACTGGAGTTGTTTTCATTCTCATCCTCTTGAATATTCCTAACTTGGGAGAAAAAGAAAAACAAAAAAGGAAAGAATTGTAAGATTATGAAAAAGGAAAGAAACCATGGGAAGTGTCTGTGGATCAGATGAATTTCCACCTGCATGTCTGCTACAGTGGAAGAAAGACTAATCGAGCTTTGTCTGGAAGAGATGCATCCAAGAAATGCAGTTCCTTCTGCTGTTTGAGAAAGCAGCACTTGTTAAAAGTGTGTCCCTCTAAGACCGTGACGGCGAACGTATGGCACGTGTGCCACAAGTGGCACGCAAAGCCATTTGTGCTGACACATGAGCCACAGGCAAACTTACCTCACTGCGCATGCATGCACCTCATAGCTGATTTGGCCTCCCAGAGGCCAAAAAAGGCTTCAAACCAGCTGTGAGGAGCAGTGAAGGTAAGGGGTGGCGTAGGGGGGATTGCACGCACATGCGCAGGGAGCGTGGGTGAGGCGCATTGCATTCTGGGTGCTCGAACATGAGTGCGTGCGCACTAGTGCACGCACAATTTTTGACACAGGAGCCGAAAAAGGTTAGCCACCACTGCTCTAAGAACCATGAACTGGAAAGTGGGATAAACGTAAACTTAAGAAAAAAAAAAGTACTGATGTGCAATAGCAATAGCCATTTTCAAATGGTACTTTCAAAAATCATTTCATAATGATTCATAATTAAGAAATCAATTTTTATATAGTCAAGGACCAGCATAAAGAGGGTTGGATATTCTCAATTAAGCATAATAATTATTTAAAAGGTAACAATTAGAACAGACATGCCCATGCTTTTTTCCCTTTGGTAAATTCATCTCCTGGTGCCATCAGCTGTGAGGGTCAGGCTTAAAAAAATGTCCCTTCATTAGTTCAGCATACACAAATAGGAAATGCACAGATTTAATCAATTAAATCAAAAATTGCCATAAATTCTCACCCAAATGGATCTGTGTATGGGAAATTAGGCCATCCCTTGTCCTGAAACTCTTTCCACACTCTGCACCCTTGTCCTCTGTATGGATCTTTTTGTGTCTTATAAGAGATGACTTTTGACAGAAGAACTTTCCACACTCCATGCATTTATATGGCTTCTCTTCCAAATGGATCCTTTTGTGTCTCATAAGAGGTGCCTTTTCACAGAAGCCCTTTCCACATTCCATGCATTTATAAGGTTTATCGCCTATATGGATTCTTTTATGAGAAGTAAGATTACTGCTTTGAGTAAAAGTCTTTCCACATTCCATGCATTTATATGGCTTCTCCCCTGCATGGATTCTTTTATGGGAATTAAGATTACTTTTGGTAGTAAAACTCTTTCCGCACTCTAAGCAGTTATATGGTTTTTCCCCAGTGTGGATCCTTATATGTTTCGTAAGGGATGCATTCTCGAAAAAGCTCTTTCCACACTCTGGGCATTTATAAGGCCTCTCCCCACTGTGCATCCTTTCATGGGAGGTAAGATTGCCCTGTTGACTGAAGGCCTTTCCACACTTGGCACATTTATATGGCTTCTCCCCTGTGTGGATCCACTTATGGGAAGTAAGTTGGCTGCTATTAGTGAAAGTCTTTCCACACTCCATGCATTTATATGGCTTTTCCCCTGCATGGATTCTTTTATGGGAATTAAGATTACTACTAGTACCAAAACCTTTCCCACACTCCAAACAATTATATGGTTTTTCCCCTGTGTGGGTCCTTTTATGCTTTGTAAGCGATGCGTTTTCAGAGAAGGTCTTTCCACACTCTCGGCATTTGTAAGGCCTCTCCCCACTGTGCATCCTTTCATGGGAGGCAAGATTACCCTGTTGACTGAAGGCCTTTCCACACTCCAAACATTTATATGGCTTCTCTCCTGTGTGAATCCTTTTATGGGAAGTCAGTACACTCCTTTTAATAAAGTTTTTCCCACACTCCACACATTTATATGGCTTCTCCCCTGTGTGGATCCTTTTATGGAAAGTAAGGGATCCACATCTACTGAAATTCATTCCACATACTCTACATTTATATGGCTTCTCCCCCGTGTGAATCCTTTTATGGGAAGTAAGATGACTGCTCTGAATGAAGGTCTTTCCACACTCTCTGCATTTATATGGCTTTTCCCCTGTGTGGATCCTTTCATGTTTCAGAAGGGATGAATTTTCACAGAAGCCCTTTCCACATACACTGCATTTATATGGCTTCTCCCCTGTGTGGATCCATTTATGGGAAGTAAATTGACTGCTTCTCCTGAAACTCTTCCCACACTCCAAACATTTATATGGCTTCTCTCCTGTGTGGATTCTTTTATGAATAGTAAGAGAACCATTTTCACAGAAGCTTTTTCCACAGTCCATGCATTTATATGGCTTCTCTCCTGGGTGAATTTTTTTTTTAGATGTACCGGATCCCTTTTTATGACCAAAAGACCAAGTGCAACTTAATTTTTTCCCATTGTCTCTTTGCACATGAGCTTGTCCTTTGGTTTGCATTGGATAGTGTTCATTTACATCTAATTTATTTTTTAATTGCCGCACACGTTTCTCAAAATGTTTCTTCTTTGTTTTCCCTTCTTGGGCAAGAAAGTCTTTCATCAGAGCCTCAATGGAAGATAAGCTTCCCTGATTCCAATTATTTAACAGTTTTTTCTCATGGCTTCCTAGTTGCATTTGCATTGGTTGGTTCTTCTGCATTCCGTCTCCAGAGCTCATCATTGGGAATGGTTCCCCAGAATCTTTACTCTCCTGCCCATCATTACCTTCAAAGGAAAAGAGAAATGACAATGAAAGCAAGCTTAGAGAAAAATATCAAGCTATAATCCAACCTCCTGCCTGTTTCAGGAGATCTTACACCGTTCCAGACAAATGGCTGTCCAATCTCTTATTGTCAAAGTGATGGAGCTCCCACAGCTTCCAGAGACAAGCTGTTCTGTTTCATTTTATTTTTATTTTCTAATTATCTGTACATATTCAAATCTCCCCTTGAGTTAATTTTGAGTGGAGCAAGACACAGGAAACACCTACGTATTAGGAAAAAACCTAAAATTTATTGGAAGGTAGCCAATTCCAGCAAGGACTTATAAAAACTACTTTGCTACTACTATTGAACTACTACTATTCATTTGTCTCTTAGCGAAATCAAATCCTTGCAGGAAAAAGAGTTATTCAATTAACTCTAAACAGCATATTTGCAATGGAAAACTAGCCCATTCACCCTAAATGGCTCGGGATAGATTGGAACAGAAAGAAGTTATTAACCCAAAAGCCTAAATACCACCACCTGTTTACAACACAGTCCTTTCAGCAGTTCCAAAAAGAACACCCATTCGCACCATTCAAGTGACTAGGGGCCCAGATAAAGCTCCAAGTGGCCTCAATGACTTCAAGAAAGAATGCTAATCACCAGGCAAGTGCAAGGTCTACAAATCCTTCAGTCAGAACTGAAGAAGCTTCTTGGATGAGAAGTGAAATGTCAATAAGGAAAAACAAAGAAAGTCCAGCTGTCTCCTGAAAAAGCACCTTTGGGACAACCACGGCCTGGATGACTGATAATCTCCCTAGACACCAAAAGCCTAAAGCAAGGGTGTCAAACTCAAGGTCCGGGGGCCAAATCTAGCCCATGGGATGCTTAGATCTGGCCCGCAGGACTGTCCTGGAAACAGCGAAGGACCGCTGTATATATTATATAGTACAGGTAATATAGGTGTGATTTTTATGCTTAGATTTGTTTACTGCCCATTTTTCATGTGATGGAGTAGAGCAGCTACTAAACCCAAGGGTTAGTTTTTTATTGACACGTAAGAAGGGTTACTTTTTTTACTGATGCTGAAGGGTTTCTTAGTGATATGCTGAAATAGAAATGAAAACAAATCATCAGATTAGAAATGGTACAGAATTCTTCTAAGCAAGAAGCCAATGACTTTTTTTCCTTCCTCAGAGCAGAAGAACAGACCTTTTTCCTTCTCCCTCACAAGAGATAATACATGGTTGGAGAGTTTTAATTTTAAAAAATAGCTGATGACATCAGACTACAAAATGTATTCCCAAACTCTATGATAGGGGAATAGCAAACCCATACATAGAGAGGCCACATTCCTTTGATTTTCCAGCATGACTTCCCAATGCAGAACTTTTTGGTGAGCATCCAGCTGAGACCACTCCTCCTCGGAGAAATATACAGCCACCTCTTCATAAGACACTGGACCCTCCTGAACAAGAACAAAAACAATACAAAAATCTGCCTTATTCTGTAGAAATTCCTAAAGCATAGATAATAATTTTTTAATCAACATAATATAAATTCTGCAGGACTTTTAATGCCAGTCTATTGCCTAGTATCTGTCTGTCTGTCTGTCTGTCTGTCTGTCATAATCCATCCATCCATCCATCCATCCATCCATCCATCCATCCATCCATCCATCCACCCACCCATCCATCTATCTATCTGTCTGGAGTCTTAGTGGACAATCAGCTAAATATGAGCCAGCAGTGTGCAGCAGCAGTCAAAAAAGCTAATGCAATCCTAAGTTGCATTAACAGGGATACAATCAAGATCAAGTGAGATACTAATATCACTCTATAAAGCATCCAGTTTTGGTCACCACATTATAAAAAAGATGTTGAGACTCTAGAAAAAGTACAGAGAAGAGCAACCAGGATGATTAGATTAAATTATATGAAGAACGGTTACAGGAACTAGACATGGCTAGTATAGTGAAGAGAAGGACCAGGGGAGACATGATAACAGTCTTCCAATATTTGAGGGGCTGCCACAGAGAGGAGGGGGTCAAGCTATTTTCTAAAGAAAATGTTCCTTGTCTGTAGGAATAATGGATGGAAACTGAACAAGGAGAGATTTAACCTGGAAATAAGGAGAAACTTTCTGACAATGAGCACAATCAACCAATGGAACAGAAGTTGCCCTTGGAAGTTGTGGAAGCGCCATCACTTGAGATTTTCAAGAAGAGATTGGACTGCCATTTGTCAGAAATGGTGTAGGGTCTCCTGCTTAGGCAATGGGTTGGACTAGATGACCTACAAGGTCCCTTCCAACTTTAATTATCTGTTATCTATCTATCTATCTATCTATCTATCTATCTATCTATCTATCTATCTATCTATCTATCTATCTATCATCTTAACATGAAAAAGAAAACACACCCTCTTTGTGTTCTATGGTTTTACCTATCAGAACATAATAAAAATCATCTGGTCCTTAGCAGTTCTTAAAGATGGTTAAATACAATCTCAGATGAACATGACATATTACACCATGCAATAATTTATTGTACAAAAAGAAGTTGTATGTGAACAAATAAGTACACGCTACAATTCAATAGTGTGTATAATCATCTTTAGCGGCAATAACTTGAGGTAATCTTATGGCTTTAACCGTCTCTCACATCATTGAGAAATTTTGGCCCACTCTTCTTTACAACACTGCTACAGTTCATTGAGGTTTTGGGGCATTTATTTATGCACAGTTCTCTTTTGAGTTTCTGTTGAGGTCTGGACTTTAACTGGGCCATTGCAACATCTTGATTCTGTTGTAGATTTTCTGGTGGACTTGGGATCATTGTCCTGTTGCATGACTCAATGTCAACCAAGCTTTAGCTGTCAAATAGATGGCTCCCCATTTGATTCTAGAATACTTTGGTATACAGAGGCAACTCGGTGACTGCAAGGCTGCAAAACAAGCGCAAATCATCACCAATCCACCACCATGCTTGACGCTTGGTATGAGATGTTTGAGCTTATACGCTGTGTTTAGTTATAGCCAATTTTGGACTTCTCTGTCCAAAGGACAGTGCCCTTGTGATTTGTTCAGGTGCAACATGTTGTGGTTCACCAGCAGCCTGTGCAGACAGTAGCAGAATCGGACAGAACAGGGACCAATCCAGGAGTCTGGGGAGGACTCGGATGAGGGCCCTGTGTTCGATACAGAGATGGGCCCAGGACTATCTGGGAATTGTGTGCTGACTCCGGAGCCTCCAGAATCTGGCAGCAGCGAGGCAGAGGAACAAGGGGAGCTTGTTCCCAGTGCACATGTGCGCAGAGCTGCCAGAAGGCACAAGCAGCTAATGCAAAAGGGGTGACTCAGGAGTAAGGCTTGGATGTGATTGCCCCTCTCATAAGGTATAAAGGAAATGCAAAGGAGAAATCTTTGCAGGAAGCAAAGTTGTTCACTCTGTTCGGATTAAACCTTGAATCCCTGTGTGGACTTTGTATTCCGTTTGGCTTTTTACAGTTAATTTGGCACTTTAGTTGTTGGCAGCAATTCAAAGGAGATAAAGGTGAGTGCTTATCTCGAGAGAGTTGTTTGGACTAAGCGTGTGCTTAATTACGGTCTAAGGAAGCCTTGGTCAGAACACAACATTTCAAACCTAAGCAGTGATGCCATATTCTTTTTAGAGAGAAGACAATTTATCCCGGTAACCTTTCCAAACAAACCATACTTGTTCAGTCTTTTTCTAATTGTATTGTCATGAACTTTAACATTTAAGATGCTAACAGAGGCCTGTGGAGTCTGAGATGTAACTCTTGGATTTTTTGCAATTTCTTTGAGCATTGCAAAGTCTGACTTTGGGGTGAATTTGCTGGGATGTCCACTCCTGGGAAGATTGGCAACTGTCTTGAATGTTTTCCATAATCTTCCTCACTGTAGAATGATGGACTTTAAATTGTTATAACCCTTCCCAGACTGATGGGCAGCAAAAACTGCTCTTCTAAGATAACTGCTGATGTCTTTACTCTTTGGCTTTGTGTGAACACATACCTCAATAATGGAGACCAGCAAATTCCTAAAACTTTGATTTAGGATTATAGAGATAGTCACACTTGCTGATGATTGCCTCTTCCTATCTTATGGAAGCAATAAGATTGTTCTTATTTTTTTCACACACTCCATTTGGGCTTTCTTTTTCTAAAACAAATATAAACAATTGGCAAATCAAATAAATAAATAAATAAAATAAATAAAAATAAATGATGACATCATATGATGTGTTGTTGTTCATCTGAGATTGTATTTATCTGCTTTTAAGAACTGATAAGGACCTGATGACTTTTATTATGTCCTGATATGTACAACTATAGAATTCAAAGAAGGTATACTTTCTTTTGCGCATCTCTCTCTCTCCCCTCTCCCTCCCTCTCTTTCTCTCAAAGGTTAAACTAGAAAAGTGAGATTTAAGAGCTAGCCTTTAAAACAATTTCCTAGTGATAATTTAAGAGTAGAAAATACGAACCCCGGGACCCAAACAAACAACTTCAAAGAAAACTAAGCTGACTGATAGCAACTTGAATCTTCTATTCTCCTTTCCATGTTGCTCAGGAAAACACAGATAATCTAGTTCTAGCCCAACAAAACAGACAATTGTAAGAAGAAAGTGCTTTGTACAACAGATTCACTTCCTGAAGGAAAGGAAATATATAAATCTAATAAATTATTTCCCCCCTCTTACTTGAGTTGGAAGTTCAACCATTGTTTCATCTCCATCATAAAGAGCAGAAAACTTCATTTGAGTCTTCCCTGTAAAGGATACAGAAGTTTAAAATACAGTACATAATTAAAGGAAAAGGATGAGATCTTCTATATCAGAGGTCTCATTCTCGCGGCCCGCGGGCCAATTGCGGCCCGCAGGACGATATCCTGTGGCCCCTACTGTGATATGAAAGTATAATATTAGTGCGTTCTCCATGCCTTGCTAGCTAGCTAAACACTTCTATGTGCGGCCCAGCCTCACCCAGACTCTGCCTCCAGTGGCCCCCAGGTAAATTGTGTTTAAGACCCCTGTTCTATATGATAGATGAAACATAAAGATGAGGCAGCTGAGATCTCTCTGGGTAATAGGAGGACCTTGGATTACCTCCTGAGATGTCCTGACTTGGATCTTCCTGAGATATCCTCCCGCAAAGCAGCTCCTGAGAGGGATTTGATAGATTACTCCTTCCCTCAGGATCTCTGATCTCCAGAGCAAAGGACTTGAAGTAGGAGGGAAGAGGGAAAAAAAGCAGAATTAATGGACATCATACAACATGAAGTCGATTACTGTTCTCTGAACACAACTTCAAAGTCCCCAGTGTCAACAAGGAGGCAGTAAAGAAAGGAACCTCTGTCCTCAATTGATGATATCTAGTTTGTGTAATGAAACATCTGCAAAAAAACAAGCAAGTTCAGAAAGCACCAATAACCCCCTCATTTCAACCCCGAGTTACAAATATTCTCCTTTATTGGTAATTTATCTATTATGATGGATAATGAATGATGTCCTAGTATGATATAGCCACATTTTGAGTGTGAGAAAAATCTGGAAGGAAAAGAGAACACAAACACATTGTTTATTCCCTTTTGGAGTCCTAAGATAAAGGTCTCTCACCTTGACCTGCTCCTTCTGCTCCTCCACCTGGCTCAAGAGGAAAGCTTCTGCCAGGGCCACTGCCTGGGAAGAGGTCTCTGCTCCACACTCCCGCACCCATTTCTCCATTTCTGGGGGCAGAAGGAACAGGAGCTGTTCCAGAACAACCAGGTCCATCATCTGTGCTTTAGTGTGTATTTCTGGTCTCAGCCATCGCCTACAAAAGTCGTGGAGTCGGCTGCAAAGTCCTCGGGGACCCTCAGCTTCCTGGTATTGGAGGCCCCTGAGGTTCCAGGGCTGAACTTCTGAATGCATGATGGTTTCTTCCTCCATGATCTTCTGCCCAATTCTTGCCCAGACCTCCTCCCAGCACCCAGGCTGAACAGATAAAAGGCTTTTTCCAACTCTCTCACTTGCTAAAGTTTGTGTCTCCATGTTTTCTCTATCCTGTAACACAACTCCAAATGGGTCTAAGGAATCTTGAAGATCTCCAAATGCCTTTTCATTCATAGGACCGATCCTATAGCCACTGGAATAACCACAGAAGGCCATTCGGCACTCTTTTCCCAACAGATATTTTTACATGTCAAGAAGTTCAAATGGTTTCCAGTTTCTGTATTTGAGATGGGGGAAAAAAATCCAAGAATTAGAAAGTGGATACTTTAACCATTGAACAATATTATATCCTCACAGAAGGAAGTATTTTTTCTAAACTGGAATAAAATTGCAGTGGGGTTGAGCAGATAGATCCTTTTTTGTGCGTGTATATGTGTATTTGTGTGAGTGAGGTACACTATTTTTTCTTATAAGGATTTCCAATCTATATTTACCTCCAAGGAATATTCACACAACCTGCCAAACCCAAAACAGGTGAATAAACCATGGAAGCTCAATACAAGTAGTCCTCGAGTTACGACACATTTGAACCCAAAATTTATGTTGTTAAGTGAAACATTTAAGCCAGTTTCCCCCATTTTACAATTTTTTTTGCCGGAGTTGTTAAGTGACTCACTGCATTTGTTAAGTTAGTAGCATGGCCATTAAGTGAATCTGGATTCCCCATTGATTTTGCTTGTCAGAAGGTCGCAAAAAGCTGATCATATGATCCTGGGACACTGCAACGATTGCAAATGAGTCAGTTGCCAAGAATCTGCATTTTGATCATGTAACCATGGAGATGCTGCAATGGTTGTAAAGTGTGAAAAGCAGTCGTTAAGTCACAGTCATAACTCATTTTTTTTTCAATGCTGTTGTGATTTGAATGGTCACTAAATAAACTGGTATAAGTTGAGGACTACTTGTACACATTAAATGAAATGCCAGAAAATGACCCTGGTTGAGGATGCCCGGTTTCCCTTCTTCAGGGTGTCTCCCTCTTGACCCGCAAGCAGATTCACACAACCAAGCTGGTCATCCCAGCACAAGGCCGAGGTCGTATTCCCCCACCTCCCCGCAGCAGGGTCGGGAATGAGGCAGCTGGAGAGGCCATCCCGCTTCTCTCCCCCACAGGAGACAGGATCGAGCCCTCGGGGAGCCGGGTGCGAATCCTTCCTCCTCCTCTTCGCCCGGCTTCTCTCCTCTCCTGCTGGGCCTCCGCAAGGCCGACTCTTCCCTACCCCCACTCGGGCTCTTCCCCGACCCAGGTAAGAGAAGGGGTCCCTGCCGCCTTTCTGGCATCCCCCTGCATGGAGAGGGCGGCTGAGGAGTATGAGACCCGGGGTTGAAGCCGAAGGAGGCCGGACGCGGATCTCTCCCTCCTCCACCTCCCTTTGCACGGGAAGAGCCCCCCCCCCCTCTCACCCGGGGCACGTCTGGATCACGCCCCGCCAGACTCTCCCGCAGTCTCTCCGCCTCCCTGCGGAGCCCCAGGGGTTAAGCAGGGCGAGTGCGAGATCCTAGAGAGGCAAGCGTTTGTGATGTCACGCCTCCTCTGGAAAGCCAGCTGTGACGTTCGGTTTCCTATGGACCAATGGGGAAGCGCCTGACGTTCCTTTTGCAACCCTGGTGGATTCTGCGCAAAATGACAGGGATGCTGCAAGGGCGGGAAGGAGGAGCCCTCTTTGAGGGGAGGCTGAGGCAGGGATAACGGGCATGAGAGTAGCAGTAAAGAGACTTCTCGTTGGTTGCCTGTCAGAGAAAAGCGGTGGTGCCTCCTGAGGAAGGGGAAATTTTCCTTCCGGGAAAATAAGAGATTTCTGTCAGTTTTTATTTCTTTAGTTCGATATACACAGCTGCCCTTCTCCAACTCTCAGCTCTGGGTGCCTAAGAATAATTGGAAACACCGAGTGGCAAGTTGTGACAAAGGAAACAATGGTGGAAAAAAAGAAATATCGAAGGAAACCCAGCTGCAAATTAAAGAAAAAGCTCAAACTGGTGGATGCTGCAGAAATTTTACCTCACAACCAGGCTCCTTCTAATATAATTACTTTATTTCTACTTTAAATCCATATCCAACATTCTATTTTAGCAGATGAACATAACTGGAAGGGATCTTGTAGGTCATCTAGTCCAACCCCTACCCAAGGAGGAGACCCTACACCATTTCTGACAGATGGCAATCCAGTCTCTTCTTGAAAGCTTCCAGTGATGAAACTCCCACAACTTCTGAAGGCAACTTCTCTTCCATGGGTTGATTGTTCTCAATGTCAGAAAATTTCTCCTTATTTCTAGGTTGAACTGCTCCTTGATCAGTTTCCAAGAAAGTATTTTTAAGAAAGTTTCTGGAGAAAGTTACATCCGTTTAGACAGAGGGAGGGAAGAGCCAGGAAATGGTATTCAGCCATGTTCTGTAGAAGAAAATAACCGTTTTGGGTTATTTCTAAACTGGTATTAGGATTGCCATGGTACAGAACTGGCAAGTCCTATGTGTGTTTGTATCATACAGAATTTTAGGCTTTATTATTGGCTTTTCCCCCAGTAATTTTATTGAAGATTGTATTATACAAAGTATATTGTACAGAAATATGTTTAAAAAAATTAAAACTGCAGAAGATAGAAAAACAAATTTTCTTCTTCTAGTCCCCCCAATAATCAACACTAAAGACTTATCACTTTTAAAATACAGCTAAACACTTCTTCAGTCCATATCTCACCTTATTTCCAATCTCTAAATATTTATCCCTCCATATTAATCAGCAAAAGTCCAATAAGAGCTATCTGAAATAATAACATAGGTATTATGTACTATATTTATTATAGGTAGTCCTCCATCTATGACAACAATTGGGACCAAAATTTCCATCTTTAAGCGATGTGGTCACAAGGCATTACTGCATCTGTTAGAAATAACAATTGTAAGAGGACTCTGCAAAAGAGGGAAAGTTTAAATTGTGGGAAGTGTCGGTTGAATTTCTGTCTTCCTGCCTGCTATAGTGGAATAAACATAGTAAAGCTTTGTCTTGAACAGCTGCATCAGGGAGCTCCTTCTATTGGGGAGGCAGCATCTGTTAAATGACTGCCTATTTGCAGTCTAATTGGACAGCATAATTCTTCACTCTACATTCTTCAATAAATATTGTCTTAATGAAAGAAACATGTAAGTTATTCTGCTATAGAAATGTTGGTAAGACTTATTGAGAACCAACTTTCTATGTTTCATTTTGCTAACAAGATCCACTCTCATAAGAATTTGTTTTTCTCACAATGCGCAATAGCATTCAGAATCTTAAGATGAAAATACCTTGGCCATTTTTCACACTTATAACCTTGCAGCATCCCCATGGTTGTGATCAAAATTCAGAAGCTTGGCAAATGACTCATATTTATGACAGTTGCAGTATTCTGGGGTCACAGAATACTGTGATCTTTGCAACCTTGGGAAGCCAGATTCACTTAACAACGGTGTTCCTAACTTAACTGCAGCAATTCACTTAACAACTGTGGAAAGAACTGAAATAAAATGGGGTAAATTTCATTTAACAAATGTCTCAATTAGCAACTAAGATGTTGGGTTCAATTGCTGTCATAAGTTGAAGACTACCTGTATTCATAATTAAAACAGCATGTGCCCGTTTTTATTTTCATTGGTAAATTCATCTTTCTGGGGCTGCCATTTGTGAAGATCAGACTCAAAAATACTTTCCTTTCCTTTTTGTTTTTTGTTAGTCGGGAAGTTGTGTCCAACCCATTGTGACCCCATGGACAACATCCCTCCAGGCCTTCCTGCCCTCTACCATCCCCCTGGGGTCCATTTAAAATCACACTAACTTCTTCAGTGACTCCAGCCACCTCATCTCTGCCGTCCCCTTCTTCTTTTGCCCTCAATCATTCCCAGCACTAGGCTCTTCTCCAGTGAGTCCTTCTCATTGGTGGCCGAAGTATTTGATTCCTAGTTTAGTATATGTCAATAGAAAATGTATAGATATTCCTGTTTATGAACAGGTTATGTTCCAAGCTATTCTTAAGTCTGCTTTGTTTATAAATCCAAACAAACATTAAAAACATGTACAGCCCAGTTCTTACCTTACATAAGCAGTAGGATTATGATGAAACCTTACAATAATATAAGCTCATACTTCAGAGCTGAAAGGGCGCATTTCTCCACCTTCTTGAAGAAATGGTCCAGTGAATTTTTGGTGATAGCCTTCATCTTTTCTTTTTTCCTCATACACTACAGCACTATATTTGCACCATTGGATAGCTACAGACACCTTGGTAAAATGCTCAAAACAGTCCTGCATTTCAAACAATTACAGTGCTTTCTTGGTCAAGCTGAATCCCTCTGCCATCAGCTTGGTCTGGCATCTCCAGAGGTTTAATCATTTTCTCTTGCTTTCACTGGTTTTATAACTTCATGAGGTTGCTGTTGAAGAGTTCTTCCATATGCGTAGCTAACAATTAGTTAAAGACCTTTTCCAGGTCAAGATGAAGATCCTTGATGAAAGCAATCAAGTTGCTGACAATGCCGTGACTGCCCTATCCACCTCTTCAAACCTTTGAAAGTCATGAACAAACTGAAGACATAGACATTTCCACATCCTATTCATATTCGTAGGAGTAACCTTGATGACAGGCTGCATCAATATTCTTGACAGGTTTTTAGATGTCATAGGACATCCAAAACTGGCACACGGTCATCTGAACTGCCTGCTGAATATGCAGCATAATTAGGTTACTACAACCCACAATCCATAGTGGTAGAAGGAAAGTGGTGTTTGGAGGCAGATACCCAACCTTCATGTTCAGATGGAATTTGTCCAAATAAGCTGGATGAGCCAAGACATTATCCAAAATGAGAATCTTGAAGGCAATGTTTTTCTCGTGGCAATTATCTTTATACTTCTAGGATAAGTGAAAAAACAACTCTTCCAAGATTAGAAGGATGACACAAGGTTTCTTTTTAGTTTCCCACACAACAAAGTGAGATTTTAAGATGTTCTTGAGACTTCACAGGTTCTCAGAATGATATAGCAGCAATTTTAGATCACCAGAAGTGTTGCTCACTTGGCAACATAGTCTTGTCTTTTGCAGCTTTGCATCATCATCTCTTCTTTGCTGATAAAAGTTTTGCCTGGCACTTTTTTCCCTAATAAAAGCCCCATTTCATTCACACTGAATATTTGCTGAGGCAAATAACAATTTTCCTCAATTTCATCGAGGGTTTTTTGGAATTCCTTGGTTGCATTCTCATCCACACTTGCCACCTCGCCACTCACTTTCACATTATGCACAAGCCTTAAAATGCAGGAACCACCCGTGTCTTGCAACAAACATGTATTCAGCAAAACTTTCACCAATCTTTTGTTGCAAGTCATGGAATAAGCTCTAAGCCTTCTGGATCAGCATTAAGCTCAGAGACATACATCACTGATGCTATCTTTGCTCTGCATGCAGAGTAGCTTCTCTCTCTCTCTCTTCCGTCACTTTTCCACTCCTTTTGGTTACTGTGGATTGCATAGGCACATGAACCATTGACATGTTCTATGATCTTCTCTTTGTTCTTAATGATCATTACGGTACTTCAGTAACAAGCCACATTCCCTATCTTATGCCCCACTCTATTTTCTTCAGCATCTCCATCTTCATTGGATTGTCATGGATTGGAGCTCTCTGCACTACTCCCTTCCCCATTACCACTCAATTCCACACATTCAGTACCTACAGGTCACACCAGTCATCAAACTATTAAACAATGAACAGTAAGCAATCAAAGCGGCAAGTAAGGATTACTTTAAAGCACACCACATATACATGCAATGTACGACAAACTAACCCTTTCCCACCTTCTCCAGCCATCTGTGACCTTCTAGGTTGGAGTTGCACGTTTGTATTACTAAAAGTTTGTAACTCTAAAGTTCATAAGTAGGGAAATGTCTGTAGTTTTAACACTAAATCTGAAATGTACATATATTCTCTTTCAAATGGATCTGTGTATGGCAAATTAGGTCATTGCTTCGCCTGAAGCTTTTTCCACATTCAAAACATTTATATGGTTTCTCCCCAGTGTGGATCCTTTTATGGAAAGTAAGGGAACCACTATGACGGAAGCTCTTTCCACATTCTCTGCATTTATACGGTTTCTCCCCTGTGTGAATCCTTTTATGTCTCAGTAGGGACCCATTTTCACAGAAGCCCTTTCCACACTCCACACATTTAAATGGCTTCTCCCCTGTGTGTATTCTTTTATGTTTCATAAGGGATGCATTTTCACAGAAACCTTTTCCACACTCCCCACATTTATATGGCTTCTCCCCCAAATGGATCCTTTTATGGAATGTGAGAGAACCACTATGAATAAAGCTCTTTCCACACTCTCTGCATTTATATGGTTTCTCCCCTGTGTGGATCCTTCTATGGGAAGCAAGGTGACTGCTCTGAATAAAAATCTTGCCACACTCTAGGCATTTATATGGCTTCTCCCCTGTATGGATCCTTTTATGGGAAATAAGTTTACTCTGTTGGCTGAAGCCCTTTTCACACTCCACACATTTATATGGTTTTTCCCCTGTGTGGATCCTTTTATGTCTCATAAGGGACCCATTTTC